TATTGCCATAGCCACTCCCTTCTCAGGGCTTGCTGGGATTGTCATGGCCCCATATAGCAGTTTGACTTTGAGCCCTTACTTGCTGTATGAGTAGGTAGTCAAGGATCTTCCTTGGGATACTCCCTTCGCTCCACTCCAGAATTAGCCAGGCATCTCAGGGATATACTCACCCCCAAGAGTGTGAGGTCATTAGATATCTTCTAATACCATACCAGAGTCTGATCATCTATTAATAATTTGCCTTTGCTATTGCTTTTTGATGTCTCATGGAGTCTTACTTGAAGTTTAGTGTTGTGCAATCTCATGGGCCCTTGACAACTATCCTGACACGAGAAGAAAACCCACAGAGGTTCTTTGAGGGAAGATGATTCTGTTTTTTCAGGGCTAAGCTTACCCGTGCTCTTACGTTTGGGATTCTAGGGCTAAAGCCTCCAGTGATCAGGTTTTTTTCGTTTATGATTATAGCCACTTCCTACAGTGAACAGCAGCTTTCCAAAGTACTGCCTCAGGTCAGGTTTTGGCATTTGCCTTGCAGGGGTGGTGTAGCTTTTCTTGTAACCCTTAAAACACACAAAAAACTTGGTACCATATCTCTTCCTGGACTACCAGGGCTCCTCTTAGAGTTTCCAGAGTGTTTTTTCAGAGATGCCCCCTCAGTAATTCTAAGGCAATTTTCTGCCCTGCTCTGTATTATGAAGTAGCTGGACTTTTCCTCACTAAATAAATAAGAAAAATATCCCACACAGATTTAATATTTGCTAGAATACTTTCTTGATAGGTTACCACACAAAAAATAACTATATTTTTCTTTTTATTAATAAAGTTAGCATAATGGAGTTGTGGTTGTGTGTTCTGTGTTGTTCTAACAACAGGAGAGATTTTAGGAGTTTTCTTATAACTTTCCATAAATCCATTTCCATTTAACAATCTCTTATTTCACTTATTACTGGATTTCAGAAGTTTATTATCGATCTGAGGATCATCATATTATCCATTCGTTTATACCTGTATTTGTTCATTCAACAAATATTTGTTGAGCACCTACTATATCAAAGACATTCTGCCAGAGACTAGGTAAATAACACCAGCAAACACAGATATGACCATGTCCTCATGGAGTTTACAGTTTAGAGAATTTCTTTTTTAGAAAAGAGTCAGAATTCAGGTCTTGAAATTATAGAGGTATTCCTATAAGAAAGGGCATATATTAATATTTCTGTAGGTCAGAGTGGGATGACATGGATAAATTTAGAATATTGGAGAGAATGGTAGAGAAAGCAAAACATAGTAATGAGGATCATGGTATCAAGTATTTAAAGGGAGACTGTGTGAAGAAAAACTGTTTATCTAGATGATGATCTTATGGAAAAAGATGATTACTACACATTACCAATTATCCATGAGAATCTAATGTTTAACCAATCAGAAATCATTCCTACCTCCTTATTGAAGAGCATATTTTTCTCTTTCACTTGAACTCTCACACTTACACATTAAATGATATAAGTCCCCAAATTACAAAGCCTCAAATGGTCACTATATGTAGGGGAGGCAGGTACAAATTACATGAGAAGATATATTACACCAGCATTACTGATTTTATAGAAGTGACAGTATATAGTAGATTTTGTGTGTGCATGTATGTGTGTGTGTTGTTTAACACAATAAAACCTTATTTCTTGCTTTTGGTCCAATATAGGTCAGCAAGGTGGCTCAGCACCTATGGTCAGTCATCCAGAGACCCTGCCCCCAACTATTGTCAACCCTTGGCTTTAGGTCTTTCTGGCATCTAGCTGGTGGATGCAGAGAGAGAAAGTGGAGAAGGCATCAATGCTTTTAACCACCTTGGCCTGGAGGTGACACTGTCACTACCATTCACATTCCATTGAATAGAACTGACTCTGTGGCTCCATCTAGACTCAAGGGGGTTGGAAAATGTAGCTTAGCTGTGTACCCAAGCAGATAATAAGTTTGATGAGCAGCTAGCTCATCTGCTTCATTCAGTCTCCTCATCTAAAAAAAGGGGGGGGGGAGTAATAGCTCCTGAGTAAGGAGCTCAATAAACATAGCAAGTACTTTTGACATCCATAAACAAATTTCCAGTCAGAACTAATATCCTCGCGGCATTCTTCTCCTTAAAATCTTTGAATGGCTTCCTATTTTCTTTGAATAAAAAATAAATTATTTACAAGGCTCTTTATCATCTGTCCCCTTCCTTCATTCCCTGTCTCTTTCCCTACCATTGCTCCTTCACTCTCACAATCCAGCTTATATTAATAACTGGCCTTTCTGTGGTTCTCAGACCAAGCCATTTCCCACTGCAGGGCCCACTGTTCCCTCCACTGCAATGCTTGCGCCCCAGCTCTTCACGTGGGGGGTCCATTCTCATCCTCCAGGTCTCACCTCACACGTCACTTCCTCAGAGAGGCCTGTCCTGACCATCCCATCAAAAGTGGCATCCTCCCCATCTCATATTCTCGTACTTTTGCTATCACAATCTCTAATGCTCTTCTTCATTTCTTTACTTGCTTATTGTCTTTTCTTTTCCATCAGAACTCTTGGCTCCTTGGAGCCAGGGACTTTGTCTGTTCACTGCTTTGTTCTCTGCAGTGAGAGCTGGGCAAAGCATATAGTAAGTGTTAAATACTTGATGACTGACCGGTGAATGGATGAATGAATTGAAGATAAATTGGAGATCTTCTCTACTGGGTCTTTAACCTTACCTAGCAACATATTCATATGTCCCTATTATTATTTCCATATCCCATTCTAGGTAGTGTTCTAGCTCTAGCTTTCCCTCTCAGCCACAGTCTGCACCCAATACCACCTCCCTTCACTCCTGAACATATCTTTCTCTGACTTCTGCTCCTCTCTACCATTGCACAGAAACTATTCTTGTTAGGGGCATCCTATTTACCAAATCCAATGCCTGCTTTTTAGCCCTTACTTTACCTCACTTGTCTGCTTGACACTGTTGAGTACTCCTCTCTTCCTGAAACTCTTCTGCTTTGACTTCATACCCCTGTAGATACCAGTATATAGCACTGGTTCTCAACTAAGGGCAGTTTTGCTGGGGAGAGGGGTGCTACTGGCATCTAGTGGGTAGAAGCCAGGGATGCTGCTAAACATTGCAATGCACAGAACAGCTCCCCCACACCTTTAGCAAAGAATGACCTGGCCCCAAAGGTCAATAATGCAAAGCCTAAGAAACCCTGGTCTACAGGATGTCCTGTAGACACTTCACGAACAACATAGTCATATTAAAAATAAGTCATTATCTCTATTTTCATCTACTCCCTTGTTACTTGTAATCCCTAATCTGATAAATGGTACCTAGTATTATAAATCAGTATATTAGGAATCATTTTTAATTCCTCTCTCTCCCTCATCAGGCCCATCTACTAGGCACTAATTCCCTTTTGATTCTATCACCTAAATATCTTTAATTTTTTCTTCCCCTTCAGCTATCACTGCCTTTGTATTAGTGTAGACATCATTTAGTTTGCAACTATCTCCTAAATGGACTCCCTGCTTTGAGTCTTATAAACACCTCCAACTCATGCTCTTCAAATAATCTTTCTAGAATGGAAGTCCGATCACATTTCTCCCATCGCTACGAGAGAAAAGTTGAGGTCCCGGGTCTGATCTACCATGCATACCACGTTATCTACAGTCCGTGTTCTGTCACTATTCTTCCTAAACTCCTTCTCTCCTAATAAAAAAACACAAGGAAACAAAAAACCAGCAAAACAAAACAAAAGGCTTGATGTTTCATACCTCTATTTATTGGATGTGAGTAATATTTACTCACATCTTACTACTTTGCCCACCAGGCCCCCAACCAGGTCCTCCTGAAAATCTTCCTCCTGAAAAATTATGTCTTTCAAAACTCTGTGCATGCACACACCTCTGTTGGGTCATTTATTTTATACATACCATACAGGTATAAAATTCCCCAATTGAAATGTATATGCAATATACTTTTATTCCACTGAGATTTAAACATTTTGAATTTCCCGTCTATGGGTGGAAAAATCCCAGTTACATTCGTGGCTGTCTCCCCTTGATTCTGGGTTGTAGTTAAATTCTAGGGGAGCCTTCACAGTACCTAAGTTTTGGAGAAGATGCAGGCATCCACCCCTCATTCCGTCTTCAGATTTTGAGGTCCTCTTCCCAGTATCTGCGTCTTGTTTGCAGATGTCTCCATCATTTTGCTTTTACAGAGCCACCCTGGGGCTTGAGAATCTGTCTGAGGCTTTCAATGGCTTCCCCATAGCACAGAATCATTCCCTGCCTGCAGTCTTGTACCTGCTCCAGACTACCTGAAATGCAGACATTAGGCCATTACGCTGGGACCCAGGAGTCTTCCCTTTCTCTCAAACTTATTAATATTTTACTTCAGAAGCATTTTGTGTTGTGCAATTTTTGTCCCAGAGGCATTTAATACTTTCCTTAGTCGATTTAGATTTTTAATGGGTTTAGTCACATAAAAGCCAATGACTCAAATTCTGTCAAGTCCTGTCCATCCCCATACTTGAGGCAGGGTGAAAAACAGTGACCAGTAGCTCCTCAATCTACCAGCTCATCGGATACACCTGGAGGAGACTCTCCCCTCCCCCCCCCCAACTCTACAGCGTATCAGACTGGTTTTTTTTTTTTTTTCTTTTTTGGCGATCATAGAAGATCAAGACTGAATTTCTGAATCTCTCAGTGGTAGGCGTGGGGCGGAACCCCACTAAGTCTACTTTTCCTCTAAGTCTTCTAATTTTTATCCCAGTCTTCTGCTTTTCCCTTCCCCTTCTTTCGGTCCAGCCCTCTCCTCCCAGCTTCTTCCCGCTCCTTCACACCCGCCTTTCTGCGCCCCGCCCTGTCCCCGCGCCCACCTCACCGCCCCGCCCACCTCCCTCCTGACTCTGCCCCCTCCTTCCCTCTTTACGTCCCTTCTCACCATCCGTACGATCCTCAACGCGCAGCTTCCGTAGTCATAGTCGTTCCGTTTACTCTGCGCCGGAAGGACAGCCTGCGAACGCTTTTGGAATTATGGCGGCGGTGGATATCCGAGGTACGCTGCTCTGCTAAACTTTGTTTTTCGATGGTCTGTGGACAGGTTTGGGAGTTTGTAGCTCGCGGGGACAAGGTTCAGGTTTCTTTGCGCGGTCTTTGAAGCTCTTCTGAATGGTTTGAATGGAGACCCAGGGCTCTAATCTAGAAAAAAGTTGCCGAGTTTTTCTCAGTTTTGGGGGCGTCTCTTACAAGCGTCGGAGCGTAGGGGTTGGAAGAGGCTCGGGGTAGACCTGGAGTATTGCGCTACATATTTCTGCAGCAATATTGGGGCTTTTAATCGAGGTGAAGGAATGGTCCTTGGGCCGAGAGGGAGTGGGGTAATGAGCCTATATGATTCGATTCATCTCTTCGGACTTGTCATGGAGGATCCCTAATCCTTGAGATCGCACCCGACGGGTCCCAGGGCATGAATCCCTAAGACTTTCTGTTTTAAGTTTTGTCTTTGAGTTGATAATGCAGTCCATCAAACACCTAATGATTGCTAAGAGTAGGGGTCGTTTCTTTTTCAAAGCTGAACTGTAGAGGTGCTCAAATATTTATTGAGTCAGTCAGTGAATAAATACATGGCGATGCCACCCCTTAATTTTAAGGCTCCTTGATCTTGGATGGCATGTAGGGTTGTTTTTGTTTGTATTAATATATACAGTACTTCATTTTCACATGGAAGTGTTTGCGATGACTTTTTCTATTATTAACCCAGTTGGAGTCTAGCATACTTACTACAGTTATATTCTCATTTATAATTATCAGTGATCTTCAGCATGTCTGGATCATGTTTTTCATATTTGTCTTTAATAATAAGTGAGAGTTTGAAGTGCCGAATTTCTTCACTTGCTGTTATTAGAATGCTGTACTTGCGTTATGTCGCCATGCTGCCTTGCTACTGAATAAAAAGGGAATTATTGAGTCCATCAGACTAATTTCAAATATTACATTTAGGTTTGTTAATGTTTTAGTTTCTATTTAGATTTGTTTGCAATCGTGGCAAAGGACAACAGAATAAAGCCAAATAAAGCAGAAAGAAGACAAGATGAGTGTGTGTCTGATGTATTAAAGGAACAGCAGGGAGGCCAGCATGGCTGGAGGTGGAGTGAGAGAGGATGTGGGGAGGAGATGGAGGTCAGAGAGGTATTGTAGGCCATGGTAAGGTCTTTGACTTTTCCTGTGAGTAAAATGGGGAGCTGTTCAAGGGTTTTGAGCAGAGGAATGATACGTTCTAACTTACTTTTTTTAAGGACCACCTTGGCTCCTGAGAACAGTGTGGGAGGACAATGGTAAAGTTAGGAAAACTAGATAGGAGGCCATTTCTGTAATGCTTGGAGATTTGGAGGTAGCTTGGATTAGAGTAGTAACAGCAGAGATGGTTAAGAAGTGGTTAGAATCTACTTGACTTGGTAGTGTGTTCTCTTTATGGGGCTGTGGTCACAGGTAGTCTCCAAGTGGGACAGATAATTATGTTCAATTTCATAGCCATAGACCATATTCTTAATCTCAGTTAACCATTTTCTAGATGAACATCCTTGGATACAGGAATCTGTGTAAATGGATTCATAAAAATTAGTGACTAACGGAGTAAACCATACTGTACTTGTCCTTGGCCCTTAATCATGAATTAATAACCATTTGCTGATTATTGTGAATCAGGTCCTGTGCTAGCTCCTGATGAGTAAGACACAGTGCCAGTTCTCTAAAAACTCACAACACATTTGTATTTTTGAGTCATATGATAAAATTATATGAAAATTGCTATGAGAACATAGAGAAAGAAGCCACCATCACTATCATAATGAAAATTTATTGGGTTATTACAATCTGCTAAAGATTTTATGTATATAATGTGTAAATACTATTATTAATCCCCATTTTATAGGTGAGGAAACTAAGGTATGAGGAGATCAACTTGTCTGAAGTTCCATAAATTGCTGGTGTGCTTTTCCTTGTGGCATCCTGCTATGTGGTGGATAATTATGGTCAGAGAAGTGGGAATCTAATGGAGCCTGGATTGTGAAATGCAATAATAAGGGATTTGGACCTTCATCTTCTAGACAATAAGTGTGCACTGCCATTCTTTAAGTAAGAAGTGATATAATTAGATTTGTATTTTGCAAGTGTAGAGTTACTAAGGCTGAATAGGATTGGGAGAAGACATGGAGGCAGAGAGCCCCATAAGGAGGCTGCTGCCCAAGTGGCACTTGGAAAAAGATTAAATAAAGTAGTGGCAACAGGAATGGAGAAGAAGAAATGTATTTGATAAGACCACATCCTCTCTAGGACAGCACTCATTGTTCTACAGGTGGTCTCCAAATTTGTAGTGTAACCTCTGGCTTCTCTCACAAGATTTTAATATCTCTCTTCAGTGGATATTTTCATTTTGAGTTAGCATAGTATAGAGGAATGTGGTCTGTAGAGCTGGGCTACCTGGATTCAAATCTCAGGTATTTAGTAGCCCTATGACCTTGGACAAGTTACTTAAGCTTCCTGTGCTTCAGATTCTTCATCTGTAAAGTAGTGATAGTAATAGTACCAACCTCTTTGAGATATTCTGTGAAGTGGTTAGAATAGTGCCAGACACAAAGTCAGTGTTCAAAAGTGTCAAATAGTGTTATTTCCATTTGCACTGGTTTCACATGTCATACATGTCTCACTTTTCATCTTTAGGCTAGTTTACAGGATGAGAAAAATATGATAGATATAACTGCTGATGAAGAAATTTATAATAATGGAAACAGTTGGTGAAGAAAATTGTAGGGAGAATTTACTGAACAGCCACTTGGAGCAGATGACATTTATGATTCCTTCTAATTCTAAGAGTCTGATTCCTTTTTTATACTCCATCTGTCCAAACCAAATTTATTATCATTACTTCCCTAAATGAATTGTTGATTCCTAAGTTCTCTGAATTTGGACCTGGTCATTCAAGAAATTGTTTTTTTCCTGAAAATATCTCAAGAAAAGAAAATATCTTTTCTTGCTATGCATTGCCATTGTTTTCCACCAGATCCCTATCACTTCATGCCCCTATTAACTCTCCACAGTTGTTGGTAGGTAGGATCTATAATTATATATTTATTTGTTTCTGTAACCTATCTGTGCTGAAATAATCTGTAATATTGTAACTGTTATCAAGAACTGATTGTGACACCATATAGGCATAATTTCCATGTGAAAAACAAACCAAAATTGTCCTTCTAGAAATGTTTTTATATAATAATTTCTAAGGAAATAAAAAGAAATGTATAAGTAGTTTTGCTGTAAATAAAACTTTGTTAATAATTGGACTGTAGTATTTAAAGCCAAAAATTATGATTGTCCTTAGTTGCTTTTCATTACAAAGACTGTCTTCTTCTGAAAATGTTATTTCCTGGCCTATTGTATATTTGGTTGTTCATGATCCACTTATGATGAACCATCTAAATGGTCTGTACTAATTGTTTGGTTATTAACATACTTTACCTGTTTGTCTCCTTTATTTTATAACACACAAAGTACATTTTACCTTTATATAATTAGTTTTTCTCAATTTGATTCATTTCACTCACTGCTTGTCACCTTCAATTAGGTTTGACTTTGAGGATGCCAGAAATAATCACAGTATAGGAGAGACTGAAGTTTTTCAACCAGTATTGTGTAGACATTTTGATGTTCATGACTTGTACCTAGTGGCGTTTAGTAGAGTCAGTGGTATGAAACATCATCCAGCCAATAACCAATAAAAGGTCATTTTTTAAAGGTATCTAGCTCTATTTACCATGTCTTTTTTAGATTTAAGATTTAAGTGTACTATAAAATGTGAAACAATGTGGCTGCAATTAAGGGAATTCTATTCCCCATTTGCCCTTTAATTTTTATGTCATTATCATCTTATCTACAATAATAGCTTCCTAACTTGCTTCTCTATCCCTAATTGAGAGATCTCAAATTGGTGGCTGTGCATGTGTTTTCTTTGGCATATTATTATATTGTGTTGTCATTGCTTTCTTGCATACTTATCTGTTCTGTTATACCATGAGAATATGTAGGTTGGTATCCATGTTATTGTTGTATTCATAGTGCCTACTACATTAGATACATAATAAATGTTTGTTGGATGAGATTCTTTCCTTTTTTTCCTAATCTTTTATCATTTTGTTTCTTTCCTATAGATAATCTGCTGGGAATCTCATGGGTCGACAGCTCTTGGATCCCCATTTTGAACAGTGGTAGTGTGCTGGATTACTTTTCAGAAAGAAGTAATCCTTTTTATGATAGGACGTGTAATAATGAAGTGGTCAAAATGCAGAGGCTAACATTAGAACACTTGAAGTAAGTTATTTTAAGAAGGTAGCATCTTTGCCCGCTAGAGATTTTGTAATGAATAGCTATTTTAAGCTGTGGATTGTGAAGTGCAGAGTAGAATTTTTGGAAGAAAAACTGGAGTTTTGTTTAGGTTTGTACAAATTTGAAAAGCAGGGGAATTACTGTGTCACTTGTAACTTGGAAATCTTTTTTGTGTAACTAAATAATGTCCATTTAAAATATAACAGGTTTAGATGTTGATCTCATGAGTGATTTTAGCAAATGCAACTGTTATTCTCAGCCAGGCAACTATAATTATTGTCTTCTCTATATCTAATTTTTATTACAACAGTATCTGAAACAACTGTTAATGTAATTTTTTCTTCAAGGGGGTTCTTAAAATTAAATTACTGTGGTCTTTTAAATGGCTTTTGTTATGGGGCAAATATTTATTAAGATAACTTATTGTTGCTTTTAAACTTACTCTTCCAGATTAGATTCAAATTCAAATTTGTTGGGATAAGGTTTTTGATGTTTTCTAGTTTGGTAGAATTTATAGTTCGGTCATGTTTATTTTTATATTTTATATGTATTTATAGATCTTTTCAGTCAGGAGGCATCCTGGTATTTTGATTGCCTTTTTGACATGGACACTCTTCAGTGTACTTTCCTGACTGAAAATACTCAGATTTAAGTTCATGATGAATTTTTGCAGAGAAATTTTGTTGTTTAAAAAAAAAATCTTACTTTATCTGTATACCACCTATCTGGGAAAATAGCCATTTTTATTCAACAGACAGATTTTAATACCAAACATAGACAATTTTAATTCTATTTACAGTGTTGCTAAACTTTTATATAGTAATTTGAATGTCACACAGAATTGTTTGCAGGTCATTCATAGACCTCTGGATGTCTATATTCTGTTTTCAGTCAGATGGTTGGAGTTGAATACATCCTTTTACATGCGCAGGAGCCCATTCTTTTTATCATTCGGAAGCAACAGAGGCAATCCCCTGCTCAAGGTAAAATATGTAAACTTCAGGTATTGTTTTCTTCTTAAAATACCATGATTTATTTACTTCCTGACCCCCCCCTCCCTTTTTTTGTTGAGTTCTGTTTTTGGGTCCCCAAGACCACATTCATGTTCAGTACTTTGCTAGGAGGACCCACCAGGCTCAGCATATGGTTGTACTGATGGCTAAGATTTGTTATGGCAATACAGTAAGGTTATGCAGCCAAATTAGTAATGGGAAAAGACATCACGTCGGGTCTGTAGGAATCCATGTGCAAATTTCCTGTGCTTTCCCTCTTGTGAGGGGCCACACTGACTGGGTCTTCCATCGAGCAGTGAAACACAGCCAGGCTTGTATGATATGTTTGTTCAGGGAAGTCCATTTGAGACTTGAGCCCAGGATTTTTATTGAGGACTGGTTGTCTAGGCATTAAAATTCCAGACTCCCAGAAGGAAATCAGGTGTCCACTGTAATCACATAGTTTGAACAAATTGTCTGGGCAGGCTGGGATAGCAGGCATAACTCTCACCTAGGAAGTGTTTCAAAGCCGTGTTCCACTAAATGTATGCCTGGACATCAGGACTCTTCCAGCATGTCCAAGGACAACTCTTCAAGCACTAACAGTTAGAGAAACTCACTCAACTCAAAGCCACCTCTTGAGCACCATTGTTGGGCTTCCAGCGGAATCTCAAGCATCCCAAGTAATTTTTCTTCTTATGTCAGTCCATTGAGTTAATTCTGTTACAAAACACATGGCAGATGTAGTCCTATGAGATTCATAGAGAATCAATTCAAATTCCTTATTGCTGCATCCAATAAAAAGCCTTACTTGGATTATACCACTAAATGAAAAAAACTTGTTCTAGAAATACCACTGAAGAGTGTAGAAGAATCCAGATTTGGTTTTGAATCAAAGAGCTAGACACCTATTCTAGAGATGACCAGAACTTGAAGACACATTAGAATCAAACCAGGACCATGGACAAAGTCACACTAAAGAGTCAAGGTAGAGAAACCAGACGGTATCAGCCCAGGTACATCTCTCAGGTAGATACCCTCATTAAGACATTTAGGAACAGCCCTTACCCTGGTATTGGTTTCAGAGAATGACTTGGTAAAGAAGTTGTGGTTCTAGAATTCAAATTTAGTTTCAAAATTGAAGCTCTGGAGTCTCTTCCCAGAGAAAAAGGAAACCTCAGAACAAAGGCAAGACCAGGAATAAGATTTCCATGATGAGAGAATTCAGGGCATAGAAGCTACACAAGATGGTACCAGCCTCATTAGCAGCTGTCTTATTCCTTAGGACCCAGCACTGGGGCACAGAGGCCAAGTTCAGTACATCTGATAATCTTTACCCTGGGCCCCAAGTCTGGCTTGCTCTAAGGCCTTACTCCCCAAAGTACAGTTGACTGATATCAGCAGTGGCATCTTTTGGGAATCTGTTAGAAATGCACTGTCTGTACTGAATCAGAATCTGATTTTATTAATAACAGGGTCTGTAAGTGATTCAGATGCACGTTAAAGTTTGAGAAGCTCTGCTGTAGGGAAAGAGTGGGCATACTTCTTCTGTGAAGGGCCAGTGCGTAGATCCTTTAGGCTTTGTGGGTGTCTTAGTCTGTAAGACAGCTATTCAACTGTTGCCAAAGCAACCATAGATAATATGTAAACGATTGGATGTGGCTGTTTTCTAGTACAACTTTATTTACAAAAACAGGAATTGTCAAACCTGCCTTAAGGTTTAATATGGGAAAATGTCAAATTTTACTTGTTCTTTTTATGAAAGTCTGTTTAAAGTTTGTGTCCATAGCTGTATTCATAAACATTTTTCCCATTGTTTTAGTTATCCCACTAGCTGATTACTATATCATTGCTGGGGTGATCTATCAGGCACCAGACTTGGGATCAGTTATAAACTCCAGAGTGGTAAGTGTCTTCACATTGTTTAAACGCTAAAGAAAACTTTTAATTGAGCTATCTTGATCCCAAGAATCAAACAGCAAACTCTTCTGCCTTGGTAAGTTACTATAAAGTGTTGACTATTAGAATGTCTTGAGCGTCAGTTACTGTGAGCTAAGTCAGTGCTCAAAGTATATACCATAGCCCCAATTATTATATATAGTGATTTAGGTTCTGAAAAATACAAAATTACTGTCTATGCATATAATAATATTTTGTGAGTACTTTGGAAATTTTGGGTGACTTAATGAGAAATTTAGAAGTTGTTTTCTTTTTACAAGCTTACTGCAGTACACGGTATTCAGTCAGCTTTTGATGAAGCTATGTCATATTGTCGATATCATCCTTCCAAAGGGTATTGGTGGCACTTCAAAGATCATGAAGAGCAAGGTAGGTAGAGCACCTAGACCCTCCTAAAACACTTTTCGATCCTCTGAAAATGAAGCTGATTTCTTTAGGAAAATGGCGATTGATGTTTTCTAGGTGTGTTTCACTTTTTCATAGGATGATGACTTTTTTGCAGCTGTGATTTATGAAACTAGATGTGGTAATAATTGCTTTCACATAGGAACAGATATAAGTTTAATCTGGTAGGTAACAGGTAATCTTTGTTAAGGTGATTCAAGGTTTTAAAATATTTAGACCATAAAGAAGAAAAATAGTGATGAGGAATGAACAAAGATGATATTTACCTAACTGTTTGAGTTACCTATCCTACTTACCTAACTGTTTGAGTCGTCTTGGAATCTGGACCCACTTATTCTCCAGTCTTCAAAATAGAGGAAATGAGGGATTGCTCTTAGAGTCCTATCTCCAGATGACATGTCTATTTTCTTATCCTTCCATGTTATCTCCTGTCATGGTAAGAGGTCTCCTAAGTTTCCATGGTTGCTAATCTACTAGTGTCTTCACTGTATTTTACCAATAAAACTACCTCCAGAAATGTGTCTGGAACAGTATACCTGCATTTCCTTCTATGAGAAATGAGCAACTCAGAATAAATTACTGGCGGAAAGATAGCCTTTATATAGAATTCAAACCTGTGGAATGTTCTTTCAGGGTCAGTTGTATTAATCCTTAATAGTAGGTACAGGCAGTAACATTTGATGAGGGAAAGTTTTCCTTAGTTTAATAAAATTGGTCTAACAGCTATTTTCCCCTACCCTAATGAAATGTTTGGAGTAATGCTTATCTGGAACCTTTCATTTAGAGACAGTTCCCCAATATATCTTCCTCCAAAGGGCAAATTCATGTGATTAACTTCAGAATTTCTCTTTGGGGTTCTTTTCTTTCTTGTCTTTGTGATCTGTTTTGTCATGTTTTTCAGATTCACAGTCTTAATAATTGAGCATGGTAACTTGAATTTGTGAAAGCTGCATTTTCCATTTGCTCCTAGTAGGTTTTGTGGAAAAAGACTATTTAATACATTTAAAGTATACAAAAGATAATTTCTAAACCAATAAGTTAGATTGTGATTATGGTAATTATGAAAAACTTTAGCTTTAAAACTCTTATGTTTCTTTATGCTTACATACCAAAACTGAAGTATCTTTAAAAGACATATATATCAGCTTTTTAAATGTTAAAATTTAACTTCAGTTAAGAGGGGGAGTTAGAACACTTTAAATATGCTGTTTAGCTTATTTGAGGAATTATCTTCGGCATAGCAGCCAAATAATGAAGTTTGGCTATGTTCATCGTAGATAGAGATTTCTAAAATATAAGACACAAAACTAGGCAATGTTTTGATTTGGGCTTCATATTTTAATAGATAAAGTTAAACCTAAAGCCAAAAGGAAAGAAGAACCAAGCTCTATTTTTCAGAGACAACGTGTGGATGCTTTACTCGTAGACCTCAGACAAAAGTTTCCACCCAAATTTGTGCAGGTAATGAGAATGTGTGTGGTTAATTTTGATTTGACACTTTTTCCTGACATATATATTTATTTTTAATTGAGAATGGTTTCAGTTATGACCTAAAAGTATTGGTTTTCTTCATTAGTTAAAAAATGATTTCTGAATCAAAGGAAAAGTTTTGAAAGACTTGATGGAGGAAATTGGTAAAGGGAATAGAATGAACACTGTCCTGTGTTCCTTACTGAATCTTCACAAACTGTGAGGACTGCATGTAGATCATATTCTCATGCAAAAGGTTAGTGAAAGTGTCATAGGTGATAACAAAACTGGAATATGAAACTCATGCTCTATTTGCTGCCTTCTGGCCTAATATTGTAAATATCTAAGCTCCTATCCTAAATGATAGGATAGTTAAAACGTTTGTAACAAAAAGAATAGAACATTTGAGGTGGTGTTGGCATAATTAACAGGGGAGGCAGGACTAATAATAGAGTTGTATCATATTGGTGTTTATGTTTTATGAATTCCACTGTATGATTTGGAGGGGCTGGGGGATTTCCAGCAGCAATAGCAGACCACCTGCCATTGTATTAAATGAGCTTTTGAAGTGCAGTAGATATGAGATGGAATATATGAATATGCTGCTCTTACGGCTAGTTGTAGTTCTTATGGACCGTTACAGGGCTGTGTACACACAAGATCATATTTACTGTTTTTCTTAGGAGGTATTTAAGGGATTTTCAAGGGCAGTTTAAAATTAAATGAGACTTTTCACACCTTGGGATGACTTTAGAGCAGGCCTCCCCTTCCACCCTCCCTTGACTCTATTGTAGTGAGAAATGTGTGCTATTGGAATGGTGATGTGGTGGTGAAGGGAGCAAAGGACAGAAGTGCGAACTCAGGACTGGAAACCCAGTTTAGAGAACTCTCATGAATTGTACTTGAATATGGAACAGCGTCTGTTGAGTGAATGAATGAATGAATAAATGAATTACAGCTGTGTGTAGGATGATGCATAACTACTGTAGTTACTACAGAATGTAAGAGGTTAGGAGTGGTTGACAATTCATTCGGTTGAGTGCCAGGGGAGGCACACCTAGATCTGTGTTGTACAGTGCAGTGGCCCCTAGGCACATGTGACTGTTGAACATTTAATGCAGTGAGTCCGGATTGAGTGATGGTGTAAATGTAAAATACATACTGGATTTTAAAGACTTGTACAAGAAAGAATGTATATAAAATATCTCCTTAATAATTTAAAAATACTGATTATATGTTGAAATAATATTTTAGATGTATTTGGTTAAATATAATAAAATTTGTCTCTTCAGAGGTGTGACTAAAATTTTTTAAATTTCATATATAGCTTGCATTTGTGGCTAACATTTCTTTTGAACAGTGCTGATCAAAAAATGGTAATAGAACATGGCAAAACCAAAACCATGAAAGAGTTAGTGAATATATATTCAGAAACCAGGAAATATTCTGAGGATTTGTGCAGGGAAGAGTAGTGGAAGATGAGACTTACAAGGTAGATTAAGTTCAGATTGAAAAGGATTTTATATGCTATGCAAATGAGTTTGAGTTTAATCCTCTAGGCCAGTGTTTCTTCACTATTTTAAATTTACAATCCATTACCACTCCCATAGATAAAACAGGCTTAGATAAAACAGATGCATTCAAAGTTATTTGAAGTTTTAAAACAAAAGCTATCACTGCTAAGGATAAACCAAAGCAGTGGCAAATTTTGTATATTCTTTTTCAAGTATGTATTCTGACAGACTGTATTCTCACCAAAACACCCTCTACCTCATCTTTAAGTGACTAGCTGAGAATTATTGCTGATGGCAGTAAGGATCCATTAGATGTTTCAAAGAAGTTGCAGAGAAGTAATGTAGTCAGTTTTGTGTTTTAGGAAGATAACTAATAACAGTATAGGGAAGATGCTTAGGAAACCATGAAGTTTGGAATCAGGGAACTTAGATTGTGGAAAGCCCGAATTAATTCTGTGGCAATAAGATAGAGAGAAGACAGATCCAGGAGATATTTCAGAGTTAGGATTGCCCAAACTTGGTGGTTGGATTTGGAGAGATTGGCATTAAGTGTGATTCTGGGGTTTCAGGCCAAGAATTAGACTTAGGTTTTGATTGTTAACCAAAATCCAGAATATGGGATAAGAAACATTTTGGTTGAACTTACATGTTAGGGGTTCTGTTTTCATCGACCAACCTTCAGAGCATTAGGTAGCTAACTGCTGTATTTGGGTTCTGAGGTACTTTAGTGAATGACCTCTCCTGTTTTCCTAACTAGGGGTCCTGCCTTGAATCCTATGTGCAGTCCTATCCTGGTGAACTAGGCCAGACATTGTAGAAGGCCCAAAGACTCTCTTGACTCTTAAAGACAAAAACCTTTACCTTATGGAAAACTATGGTAATTTAAAAACATATACAGAAGTATAGAGAATAATTAAAAATGAAACCCCCATGTATCTATTACCCTACTTCAACAATTATCAAACCTGGCCAATCTTGTTTTATCTCTCCTTCTACTTCCTCCTGGTTATTTTTAAGCAGTCTGCAGACTTCATATCATTTCAGTGTGTTTTTTACATTTTTCTTTTAAAGGTTTAGCCACAGTCACACTTAAGTTGTTATATTCCTGAACCCCCCATTTCTTTTAACCCCATGTTTCTTTTTAGCCACAGTTACACTTAAGTTGTCATATTTCTGAACCTCATATTTCTTCTTTCAAGAGCCAAAAGCCAACTCCCAAAAGTGTTTCCAGCTCTGTGTAACTGAACTAGGAGAAAGATGGCTTTCTCTAGAACTATTAATAATTTTTTTGCTTTTCCTACCAAAACCCATCCTCTTCAGACCTAGAGAAGAAAATAGTCTACTTAAAGTCTCCCAGAATTAGTCTTAGCTCATATTAACCTGTCAGGCTTCAGTCTCCCAGAAACATTTGTAGCTCAGTACTTATTCCTACTTATCTATTGTATTTAACAGTTGGGCTTGTGGTTCTTAGGGCTGTTGCCCCTTTAGGGGAATGCTCAGGAGAATATTAGAAAAGTCTCGCTTGCTTCTTTGAATCTCCTTTTTCCATATTTTAATTCTTGTTACTGCCGGAAGTTACACTAATACTGATGTGATGGGAATTTAGGCCCTCAGAGCCTTTTTATGGTGAATGTCTTTTCAGTGCTGTTTTTAGAAGCTGCTAGAACATCATAGGATATTACTTCAGCTAGGTTTATCTAAACCAAGGCCACCTGATTAAATTTGGTCAGAAGGGCACCCCCATTCTATATCCCCATCTCAAATTACATCCTAGTAGTTTGTCTGACAATATTTAGTAGAAAAGATTAGACAGTGTATGTTGGGTAGCTAATGACATTATTCCAATGTCCAAATATAATTCATTGTCCAATATAGTTCAAATGGTTCAGTGCTAGCAGTATAAAAATACCCCTTTTCAAATTTTCTCACTCCCCTTGATGTTACTCTATACATTTCCTCTCCTGTTTCAAAGAAAAATTATTTGTTCCCTCAGAATTACTTTGAGCATGTTGTAAGTCCTGATAAATTCACAAGATAATGTGATTCTTGGCTTTTTGGGGGGTTCTCATGACCATTCCCATGTTTGGAGATTTGCTAGAAGGACTCACAGGACTTGGCATGTAGTTGTACTCATGGCTAAGATTTATTACTGTAATATAGGTAAGGATGTATAGCCAGATCGTAAGGGAAAAAGACACAGTGGAGACTGTACTCCTCCAGCTTCCTTATGCTTTCTCCTTCCCGTGTGAACTCTACTCTTGGTGAAAATGCAGCAACATGTGTATGATATTTCTGCCCAGGGAAATCCCTTAGAGACTCAGTGCTCATGGTTTTTTTTGGGGGGTTGGGGTGGAGGGTTTTCTCATGTAGGTACCCTTTATCAAGCACATACCAAAATTCCACAATCCCTGAAGGAGAGCAGGTATTCAGCGTAAACCACGTTGTTTGTACAGTCTAGGCACAGTGAGCCACCATTATCTGTTAGGGAATGATAGAAACACTACCAAAATCCAAGTTTCTAGACGCCGGGAGCCAACCTGCTTAGGCCTTTCTAAGGATCACAGCCTCAGGCCTTCTATGTTAACACTTCTATGCATAGTGGATAATAATATGGAGCTCAGATTTGGTCTTGTTAAGTGTAAAGCTGCCCAGGACTTGCAGTTGGAGTAGTCTAGTAAGCAGTGAGCAGCATGAATTTGGAACATGTGAGATCAGAAAATTTTGTAGTCTTTAGTCATGGGAATAGGTAAGAAAACTTAGGGAGGTCATGTTAATCCAGAAAGAAATTCAGAAAATAGATGGAGGCATTAACCTTAGAAATGAAGAGATTACTTTTTTCTTCTGAGATGATAGGGGTGTAATAAGTTATTTTAAATATTAATGTACGTGTGCGTATACATTTGTGTGTGTGTGTGTGTACATAAAGGTATAAGTTTAAAGGTAGATGGGAGGGAAGTTGGTGGTGTTGGCATCCTGTTTTTTTGTTGTTGTTGTTTTGTTTTGTTTTGTAAATGGGACGCAGAGTGTCATCAGATGAGAGTGAGGGATAGGTTGTGAGCCTTGAGGAGGAAGAAGAGGATGTTTGAGAGCATTTAACTTAGGTAATGGGACAAAGGAGATGACAGGGCTCAATCAAATGAAAGAATTGCTGTACAGAATGGAGGACGTGACCTTGTTTCTGATCTCTAATGCCCCAACACTTTTCGTGTGGTTTGATTTTTAATAATACACGCATCAGAAGTCTCTTTTATCTCCTTAGTTCCCATGCCTACCAACTTTAAAAGTCAAACTTTAGTCTTCTTTATCCTAATTCGTATCACCTAAGCAAATAAGCCTCTGCAGTATGAAAGGCTCCATTATTTCCTCCCACTGGATTCTGTTTAACTACTTTTTATAAAGTGTTGTAGCCTGAGTGTGGAGGCAAAAGACTTTGTTAGATGTTTTCGGGGGTTTTTATGGTTGACTATTTTGTTCTAGTTTTAGATTTGTGTCTTTTCTGGAATGGGAAGAAGAAGTAGAAAATGATAAATTTATTTTTTATGGTACACGAATAGTAGTTTTTCTTCATGAAGTCATTAATAATGTAATTTGAATGGTTTCATTTTATTAAGAATTACGAGATCAAGAAGAAAACTTTGCTAACCTGACCTGTTTCTCCTTTTTTCTTCTTTCTCCCTTTCCTCCCTTTTAAAAAAATTATAGCAAAAGTCTGGAGAAAAGCCAGTCCCAGGTATGATTCATCTATTACTATTATTCTTATTAATATTCCTATTAAACTTGAAATAAGACCAAACATCGTGAAACTCAGTAACAACTATGGTATGTGAGATGAACTGTGGTCATTTTGTCCTAGACTGTCTTACTGTAGTTGTCACTCAGCCTCTGAGATCTGCTGAATTGTCAACAGGTGGCGCCTTTGTGGTAGTGATCTTGGTATTTAAAAGATGAATTGGGGGGGAAAGAGTGGGTATTGAGGTGTGAAGAAGCCAGGTGATTTGAGGTTTTTGGTTCAAATCTTGGTGTGAAAAGCGGTCATCTGTTAAATCAATGAAAACAAGTATTGAACTATCCGTGTAACTGAGTTAGAATAATGATATATCTTGCTTATACATAATGTCTTATTTTAATGCCATGTGGTTTTGTCTAGTATCACTAATTTCCTTGAGTTATCAGGTTGTTAGGTTTATAACTGGGTTCTTGTATATATCTGCCTGGGGAAACAACTAAATTTAGAACTTGAGACTAGCAGTTAAAAATGAATTTGAAAGAGTGAATCATTCATATTAATCATCATCCCCTCCTCCCCCACCAAAAAAAAAAAAAATCTGCTTTTGATGTCTAGTGGATCAGACAAAGAAAGAGGCAGAACCTATACCAGAAACTGTAAAATCTGAGGAGAAGGAGACCACAAAGAACATCCAACAGACAGTGAGCGTTAAAGGACCGCCTGAGAAACGGATGAGACTTCAGTGAATGTTGGACAAAAGAGAAGCCTGCAAGACTCCTCATGTCAGCTATTATAGCTCAGTACTGTGGCGGGCTCTTGAGCTTTAAAGTACTTTGTCAGAACCCTCTCATTTGTAGGAAATGTGCTTGTTCTTTAAAAAATGGTATTACTCCCATCATGTTTTTTATGTGAATATTTCTTCTGTATCTTTTGTAACCTTTCCTTGGACTTGAGCAGCCTACCCACTCATGTGTACTGGTATATATGTTTAAAAACAAAATAAAGGCATTTGTACATACTGCTTCATCATGACTTTTTCCCCCTTATTGCTTTCTCTGAAATTTTTCACATGCACTTTGAAGACAAAAAGGATTAATATTAAAGTAGTAACTGAGAATATTTCCTTTCATTAGTTATATGCCTCAGTATTAAAATAATAAATAGCTACTCACATTTTGGAAGAGGAAGAAAAGGAAAAACCTCACTCACCAATGCCATCATCCCTCAAATACTGTAACAGTGTTGTGAATTTTCTTTTAGTCTTTTTCTGTTTTTAGATACTTTTAAAACCATAGTTTGTAATTATTCTGTTCATACAATTTTACTTTATCATATTGCTATATATGTTGTAAGCTTTTTCCCATGTTTTTACTTAGTTTTTATAGACCATGTATTTTAGCGACTGAATAATTCCTGTGATTATATCTTAGTTTTTGTGAATTATTCTTGTATTGTATATGGATTTTTCCCAATTTGCGTTATTTTAAAAATGGCTACTGTGATTACATTTGTATATAATGCATTTTCACTATTTAGTATTTATTTCCTTAGGATAAGAGTTCCAGAAATGGAATCACTAGAGTCTCTACATTTTTATTTTTCTTAGTCCATATTGCCAAGTTGTTTTTCTTAAAAAGGTTTGGACTAGTTATCACTCAAATAGCAAAATATGAAAGTACGTGCCAGGTTTTCTGGAATTGCTACCACTAAGTATTGTCATTTATATTTTTAGTGCTAAATAAGTAGCAAAAGTAGTGTTTTATTATTTAAAGTGGTTGAACAATATCTCATTTATCTTTTCTGCTTTTATGAAATGTCTGATTTTCTGTAATGAGTGAGATATTTGTTTTAACTTTTTGATGTAATTTCAGGTGTACAGAAAAGTTGTAAGATAGTACAAAGAATTCCTACATATACCGTATATCCTAATTCCCCATGTATTAATATTAACGTTTTTCCATATTTTATTCTTTATTTTCTTTCTTTCTCTTTCTCCGTATCTCTAACTCTTGCTGTCACTTGCTGTTTCTCTCTCTCTCTCTCCCTCTCTCTCTTTCCCAGAATATGTCTGTAGTACACGTACAGTCCCCTTTTATTTTTGTACTGAGAGTCAGTTGCTGTCATGATGCCCATCTCCCTAAGTACTTTAGTGTGCATTTCCTAAAATCAGGGACATTCTCTTATGTGGCCACAGTACACTTATCAAAGTTAAACTGATACTATTCATTATCTAATCTGTACATCTTATTCATATCTCATCAGTGGTGCCAATAATGTCATCTATAGCAAAAGGAAATCCTGAATTATGGGTTGGATTTAGTCGTTCTGTCTCTTTAGTCTCATTTAATCTGGAACAGTTCTTTGATATTCCTTATTTTTCACGATCTTGGTATTTCAACAGCTCGGGCCATTTATTTTGTTCAATTGTCTTTCTTTTTTTTTTTTTTTTGAGACAGAGTCTCACTGTGTTGCCCCGGCTAGAGTGCCGTGGCGTCAGCCTAGCTCACAGCAACCTCAAACTCCTGGGCTCAAGCGATCCTCCTGCCTCAGCCTCCCGAGTAGCTGGGACTACAGGCATGCGCCACCATGCCCGGCTAATTTTTTCTATATATATTTTTAGTTGTCCAATTAATTTCTTTGTATTTTTAGTAGAGACAGGATCTCGCTCTTGCTCAGGCTGGTTTCGAACTCCTGAGCTCAAACAATCCGCCTGCCTCGGCCTCCCAGAGAGCTAGGATTACAGGCGTGAGCCACCGTGCCCGGCCTGAATTGTCTTTCAGTTTGAGTTTGTTTAATGTATTCTCATGATTAAACTCATGCATTTTTGTCAGGAATGCCATTGAAAAGATGGCATTTGGAAACACATGCTGCCAGTTTGCTTCATTTCTGGTGATGATAATGTTGATCACTTGATTAAGGTAGTGTTGGCGAGGTTCCTCCACTGTAAAGTTATTTTCCCTTTTGTAAGTTATGTTGTACGGAAACATTTTGAGGCTCTGTGAGCATCCTGTTAGTCCTCAGACTTTTACCCACTAGTCTCCATTGATAATTCTTGCCTGAGTGATTTATTAATGTGATGGTTGCCAAATGGTGATTTTCTAATTCCGTCATTCTTTCTGTATTTATTAGTTGGCTTTCTGCTATAAAGCACTTTCATTTCTCCCCTACTTATTTATTTATATCATTGTGGGCTCCTGGGTTCTTATTTTATTTAATGGTTTATATTTCTTCACTATCATTATATTAGTGCTCAGATTGTCCTGGATTGAGCCAATGGGAGCCCCTTCAAGCTGATTCCTGTGTTCTTTTCATGTGACTCCATCATTCATTGAGTGTTTTCTTTGCTATTTAGCACACTAAAATATTCCAGGTTCATCTCAATCCTGGAGGCAGCCATTTCTTTAAGTTAAGGATCCCTATTCTTTCTACGGAATCCTTTTCCCTATTTGATTTCATGTATGGCTTCTTTTGCTCAATATTGTGCTTATGGTTCATCAAAGTTCTTTCATGTTATTGTAGTTATTTTAATTTCTGTGCAGTATTCTATTGCATAAATATATTACAACTTTTGAATCCATTATAATGATGATGGACCTTTGAATTGTTTGTAGTTTGGGGCTATTATTAAAAATTGCTTTTATGAATATTATATTTTTATGAATTTCTAATATGAAATTTTACAAATATTCTAAATTTATGAATATTGTAATGCTTTTTGTATTATAGGCTAAATTGTGTCTTCCCCACCTCCAAACAAGGTATGTAGAAGTCCTAACTCCCAATATCTCAGAATGTGACCTTATTTGGAAATAGGGTCATTGCAGATGTTATTAGTTAAGATGAGGCAATGCTGGAGTAAAGTGGGCCCCTTATCTGGTATGACTGGTATCGTTATAAAAAGAAAGCCATGTGAAGAGATGAAGGGAGAATGCCATGTGAAGAAGGATGATTGGAGTGAGGCATCTATATCAAGGAATGCCAAAGATTGCCAGCAAATCATCAGATGATAAGGAGAGGCAAAGAAGTATTCCCCTACAGGTTTCAGAGGAAGCATGTCCCTGCTGACACCTTGATTTAGGGCTTCCTGCCTCCAAAATTTTGATACAATAAATTGGTTATTTTATGTCCCCCAGATTATTGTACTTCGTTATAGCAGTCCTAGGAATCTAGTATAGTGTACGTGTGTTTATTTTACTGTTTTATTCTAATTGCTGGGCCATAAACATGCCTTTGGTTGATGATGTCAAAATGTTTACCGAAGTGGTTATACTAGTTTATATTCCAGCCAGCAGGGTATAAGAGTTCCAGTTGTGCCATACCTTTGTTGACCCCTAATGTTGTCAGATCATTTGCCCATTTTCATTGGATTATTTGATTTTTTTCTTATTGAATTGTTTGAGCTCCTTATACATTCTAGATTCCTTGTCAGATGGGTAGTTTGAAAATGTTTTCTTCCATTCTGTGGGTCGTTGCATCACTTTGTTGATTGTTTCTTTTGCTGTGCAGAAGCTTTTTAGCTTGATGTGATCCCATTTGTCCATTTTTGTTTTGGTTGTCTGTGCTTAAAGTATTACTCAAGAAATCATTGCCCAGCCAGGGGTGGAGAACCTGCAGCTTCAAGGCCACATGTGGCCCTCCAGATCCCCAAATGTGGCCCCTTGACCAAATCCAAACTTCACAGAACAAATTCCTTTGTTAAAAGGATTGATGCCAATGTGTCTGAGCAAGTGGAATAAAAAATAAATAAATAAAAATAGAAGGATTGAATGTTCTGGAGTGTTTCCACAAAGTTTTCTTTTAGTTATTTCATGGTTTTGGGTCTTAGATTTAAGTATTTAATCCATTTTGATTTGATTTTCGTATATGGTGAGAGATAGGAGTCTAGCTTCATTCTCCTGCATGTGGTTATCCAGTTTTACCAGCACCATTTATTGAAGACATTGTCTTTTCCTCATTGTGTGTTCTTGGCACCTATTTCAGAAATCAGTTGACTATAGATGTGTGTGGATTTGTTTCTGTATTCTCTGTTTCATTGGTCTATGTGTCTGTTTTTATGCCAGTACCATGCTGTTTTGATTACTACAGCTCTGTGGTATAATTTGAAGTCAGATAATGTGATTTCTGCAGTTTTGTTCTTTATGCTTAGGATGGCTTTGGCTATTTGGTTCTTTTGTGGTTCCATATAAATTTTAGGATTATTTTTTCTATTTCTGTGAAGAATGTCATTGATATTTTCATGGGGATTGCACTGAATCTGTAGATCGCTTTGGGTAGTATGAACATTTTAACAATATTGATTCTTCCAATCCATAAACATGGACTATCTTTCCATTTTTTGGTGTCCTCTTCAATTTCTTTCATCAGTGTTTTATAATTTTCATTATAGAGATCTTTCACTTTTTTGGTTAAGTTTATTCCTAGGTATTTTATATTCTTGAAGCTATTCTAAATGAGATTACTTTCTTGGTTTCTTTTTCAGATTGTTGCTGTTGCAGTATAGAAATGCTACTGATTTTTGTATGTTGATTTTTATCCTGCAACTTTACTGAATTTATTTTTCAGTTCTAATAGTTTTTTGGTGGAATGTTTAGATTTCTCTAAATATAAGATCATGTCATCTGCAAACAAAGGTAGTTTGACTTCTTCCTTTCCATTTTGGGTGCCCTTTGTTTCTTTCTCTTGTCTGATTGCTTTAGCTAAAACTTCCAGTACTATGTTGAATAACAGTGGTGAAAGTAGGCATCCTTGTTCCATATCTTAGAGGCAAGGCTTTCAGTTTTTCCCTAGTCAGTATGAGACTAGCTGTGGGTCTGTCGTATATGGCTTTTATTGTGTTGAGGTATATTCCTTCTATTTTGTTCTTTTTTTTTAAGTTTTTTTTTTCTTTGCTCTTTCAGTTTTGAGAGCTCCTATTGCTATATCCTTGAGCTTACTAATTCTTTTCTCAGCCATGTTTAGTCCACTAATGAATGATCCT